GCCCTAGAAGGTTTGTTTTGCCCTTAGGTGTCAGTTCGAATGCCCCTGAGGGAGAGAATCTCAGCCCATTGTCCTATTCTTCAGCCAGTGCTGTGAAACTGAGTGATGGAAAGGTATGTAATAAACAGACAGGAGACTAAGACTTTGAATTTTAGTGGTACTACTTTATTCATTGGCTGTTCTCCACAGTGCCTGGTGCCCAATAAGTTTCCTAAGGGTCAGCCGAGCAGAGTGAAGTCATGGAATGTTACCTGTACAAGAACCACAGATCCTGGGTGGGAATGAGCACTGTGTTCATCTCTTCTTTTATTTTGAAAAAGATACATAGGGCTTCCTAATGGCTGTGGACTAAGCATTTGACATTGACAACCTTCACTTTTTTGATAATATGTACTTATCACAGGCATGTCATCGTGCAGCTCTCAGTGTCTCAGCTTTAGTAGAATATAAGCCCACTTCCATCTCCTATGCCAGTTGACAGCTTATTCATAAAACCTGATTATCTTTTAAGCATCCATACATATGATGGAAAGAAGAATGATATTAAAAAATTGTGTAGAACCTTAGTTTCCAAGCTGTTACTGATGCTTACAGGGTGTTAGTCCCCTCACTGACTTACACTGAAGAAAATAAGAATTAAGCAACTACTACAGATTTTTCTGGGACCTTTTTTAGATCTGGTGCTCTCATGAAAATCTACATAAGGAAGATCTAGAAGAGGAAGGAGGCATCGAATTTCCCCAGATCAACTATGGCCAATTCAATGGCAAAAAATATCGTTACTTCTATGGCTGTGGCTTTCGGCATTTGGTGGGGGATTCTCTGATCAAGGTTGATGTAGTAAACAAGACACTCAAGGTGATCAAAATCACTTTCCTTTTCTAAACTTTTGATATTCTCTTGATAGTCTTTAATATTTAAGTAGCTCAGTAATTTTCTTTTATTTAGTTTGAGAACCATGGAATTACCTAACTTAGGTATGTGTTTCCTCTAGGACATTTAAATGAACCACTGGCCCAGAAAGATAATTTTATACTTGATGTTGTTTTGTGAGAAACTGTAGGGTTAAAGTTGTTGGGACAGGGACCAGCAGTTTGTGTAATGGCTATGTCACTGAACTCCCTTGTAGCCGACTGTGGTTTGAGTCCTGGACCCAGTGATTTAAACTCATGCTGGGCACGTGTGCATGCATGCCCAACATCCCAAGAGGAGAATGGAGGACAAGGGATTGTGGCGTGGCTGTGGAGGGGGGTGGCGTGATTTCTTGCTTTCTACCGCTCTATCTCTCTGTCTCTTTCTGTCGAGCACATACTCCCTATAGCAAAACACTTCTCCAAAAAAAAAAAAAAAAGTTGTTGGGACACTTGTATGAGGAAACTTTAAAAAGTTCACGGAGAGGGGCCAGCAGGTGGCATGCTGGTTAAGGCACTGGACTCCCACTTGGCTGACAATGGTTTGAGTCCTGGACCTGGTGGTTTGTTTTCTCACTTCTCTTTCTTTCTTTGGTCAAATTAAAAAATAATAAATAAAATCAAGTAAAATATTTTTTAAAAGTTTATAGAGAAATGGAATTAAAGTATGAATTTATTTTAGTGCAAAACCATTTTTTTTTTTTTTGGAGAGGTTTTTGCTATAGGGTGCGTGTGCTTGCCAGAAGGACAGACAGAGAGATAGAAAGCAAGAAATTACCCCCCAGGGGAGATGGCTGTGCCGCAATCCCTTCTCCTCCATTTTCCTCTCAGGATCTTGGGCATGCACGCACACGCGCCTGGCATGAGTTTAAGCCGCCAGGTCCGGGACTTGAACCACGGTCGCCTATGGTGGGAGTCCAGCGACATAGCCATTATGCTAACTGCTGGTCCCAGTGCACAACCATTTTGAAATCTATTCATAGTTTTGTTTATAATGCTCATTTTCCATGAATTTTTTGAAGACCCCCTCTTATTTCAGGTTAAAGGGAAGTTAAAGTGACATGAATTTTGTTTGATAGTAGTGGAATCTGGGGCTGTGAAAACTCTCCCCCTCTCTTTTATATTCAACTCAATAAACCTGATTCATTTACTATTAAAATATTTTATTAAAATACTCTAATAAAATTCACGCTGGGAATGACAACGCTATAGCAAGCTTCCTGTTAACAACTGGCCTTATATCTAATACTTTTTTGGGGGACTTGCAGGTTTGGAGAGAAGATGGTTTTTATCCCTCAGAACCTGTTTTTGTTCCAGTACCAGGAGCCAGTGAAGAAGATGGTGGGGTTATTCTTTCTGTGGTGATCAGCCCCAAACAGGTAAATGTATTTCTGTGTCACAAGTCAGAAAGAAAAGAAGCAGTAAGCCATCGAAGAGGGATAGTGATGCTGTCGATAGCTGACTTTGATTCCAATATGGCACCTTCTCGTCCCCTCCCTACTATTTACGTACCATTTTATAATAATCCATATTTTATTATTATTTTAAAGTTCTGTTTTTAGGGACATAATAATTTACATTTGTATAGGAACTTGATGTTTACAAATAACTTTCATACATATTATCATCAAAACAACTTTATGGGATACTCATTTTACAGTTTGTGACTTAAAGAGGTTGAAAGAGAGGGACTTCCTATAGCCTAGTGGTTAAGGGGCCTGGTCCCCCAGTGGACAACTGTGGGGCAAATACTGGCTCTGGTGTCTTAAAAAACATGCCAGATACATGTGCATGCATGCCCCTCAGCCCCAGTGGACAAATGGAGGATAAGGAATTGCAGATGACTGCTCCTTTGGGAGTACTTACTCCCTTTCTGTCCATCTCCTTTGGGTGAGCACACATGCCCTGTGGCAATTAAAAAAAAAAAAGAATAGCCTTCCAAATAAAGAAGTGAAAGAGACTTGCATCAGATTACATATTAAGGCAGCATTAAATTCAAATTTTTTGACTTCTAGTTTAATGTTTACACCACCATCCGTGCTGCCAGTTTCAATGTACTAACCTTAAAGTCCAATGTCATAAGCCCAACCTAGTGTTTGATAACCATTACTATCTGACTTCTTGTCCAAAGAAATCATATAGCAAATTGGTTCACTTTTAAAATTACCTTTGATCAATTATTAGTGGCTGCCTGGGGTGTAGGATTCTGAGGTCTTTCAGAGGTCCTGTGGGAAAAGTGCTGTGATCAATTAGTGATGTCTGCCATGTGCTTGGGAGTCCTAGGTCCTCATATGTTGCACTTGTCACCTCTATAATTAGATCTGGGATGATCTCAGCCGGCTTTGCCACGCTGCTTTTTGAACAGCTCCAAAGTAGTCTTTGGAGGCATTTCCATCTTGGAAAAAGGGTTGATATGTCTCTTAGGAGATGGGAAGGGGGACAAGTAAAAAGATCATTAAACTCAAGGAACTCCTATGAAGGTGATTGATATTAACAACCCAATTTCTTTGCTCTAGATATGAACTTGTTCAGCTTTCATTTCCTTTCAATCCAGTTCAGCGATTCAGCAAACATTGAGTGAGTGGATAGTAAAAGCACTGTGCTAGGTACTGGGGACAGTTAACAAGACAAGTAAGATATGATCTCTCTCTTAGGAATCTTACAGTCCAGTGGAGGAAACAGCGTTTTAGTTAGGAAAAAAAAAAAAAAGGTGATTTTCAGAGCATCTTTTCTTTTCTAGAATGAAAGCAATTTTCTCCTAGTCTTGGATGCCAAGAACTTTGAAGAACTGGGCCGAGCAGAGGTACCTGTGCAAATGCCTTATGGATTCCATGGCACCTTCGTACCCATCTGATGGGATAGCCGTAAGGTCTGAGAACTGAACTAATGTGCTCTGTACAAAAGAGAGCAGGAAGGGCATCCTAGTTCTCTAGGATCTTATAGATACTAGTTTTTGAATTTCTATTAAACACAGAACTCATGATTCAGGTCACAGTTATAGTGTAATACTGTGACATGATTTATACTCATGCTGCCTTAGGTACTTTTGTAATTATCTGTTGCAAATTCGTGACTGCCTCTATTAACTTTCTTTTATGTAAGTAACTTTTAAAAGTATCTTTAAAATTTTGCTTCTTTAATTTTGAATAAAAGCTAAATTCATAATAAACAGAACTCATGTGATAATTATGGCATTATTATTATTATTATTTTAGAGAGATTTTTGCGATAGGGCACATGAGCTCACCAGAGAGACAGAGAGTCAGAAAGTGAGAAATCACGTCCCCCACCCCCACCCCCCGGGAGGAATGGCCATGCTGCAGTCTCTTCTCTTCCTTTCTCCTTTCAGGATTTTGGGCACATATGCCTGGAGTGAGTTTTTTTTTTTTTTTTTAGAGGTTTTTGCTATAGGGCGCGTGCACCCGCTAGAAAGACAGAGAGACAGAGAGACAGAAAGTGAGAAATCACATCCCCTGGGGAGGATGGCCATGCCACAATCCCTTCTCCTCCATTCTCCTCTCAGGATCTTGGGCACGCACGCACACGTGCCTAGTGTGAGTTTAAGCCACTGGGTCCAGGACTGGAACCGCAGTCAACTACATGGGAGTCTAGTGACATAGCCATTACGCTAATTACTGGTTCCATGCCTGGAGTGAGTTTTAAGCCGCTGACTCTGGGACTTGAACCACGGTTTACTGTGGGAGTCCAGCGACATTGCCATTACACTATCTACTGGTCCCGATGATTTAATTAGGGTGTTTCCTTGAAATCATTAAGCAAATGTTGACTAAAACCTTTTGAAGAGGGACCAGCAGATAGTGTCTGAACATTTATGCACATGCAACTGGTGTGATTTTTTTTTTTAAGCCTCTAAGTCCAGGACTTGAACTACTGTCAGCCATGTGGGAGTTCAGTGCCTTAATCACCATGCCACCTGCTGGCTCAGGAGGTTGTGCTTTTGAAAAATAGCACTGAAATCAGACCTTTTTCCTAATCTCCGAGTGTATAATTCTTCAGGGATTGACAAAAAGCCAGTAGTTCTTCATATAGTTGGGCAACAGGTGGCACTAGAGACCATATAATTGCCAATTTCTAGTTTTTGCCAACAGCCCTAAACAGCCCAGGTCTTTCACTGAAACTGTACTCTTAACAACAACCTCACCGTCTCTTGTTCCTTTTCCTTCAGTTATACACTCTCCCTCCATTTGAATTACAATCTTGGACCAGTTAGACTGTCTATGCTCCTTCTGCGTGTGCAGTGTTGCTAGAGAAGGTCCCCAAACATGTAATTTAGGGTACCTGTAAACTCATGGTTAGACTCTCTGTATAGTCCTGGACAACAGTTCCCTCTAATTTTCTGTAAGGTTTATTTCAAACTTCACAAACCCATAGTTTTAGGAATGAGTTCCACGCACACAGATGTTTACACTGTGGCAGTGAAGTGAAAGGGCCCAGTTCCATGTCTGGGTTCATGAGTTGCAGAGCACAACAAACAGGAGCACAGAAAGGCAGGAAGACGCCTGAACAGAACCAGCTCAGCAGATGGGAGCACAGAGTCTGAGGTAACCATGAGAATCTAAGTCCTCCGTTCATTCACAGCAGTCTCTTAAAAGCACCCATTGTACTCCTTCAGACAAAATATGGATGCTTCTTTGATCTTTTCTAGATCTGCAGGGTGAAGGAGACTCTGGCTGAGGGAAATTCACAGCTGATCTTTCTCTGTTTATGCACCTTTACTCCTTGAGTGAGGTTTGCATATAAAAAGGTTAGCAGTGTAATCATACCAGTGCCTGAATTCTGCCTTGTCCCTGCCACCCGTAAGGTTCTTGAAGGAGAAGACAAAAAAGGATCAATGGCATTTTGTAATCTAGGCACATGTGCCTGGGAATTCACTGCAGAAAGTTCAGATACAGTTGAGAGTGTATACCAAGGCTCGAAGCATAGTAGGGCCTCTTCCTCTCTCTGAGCCCAACCTTTATCACTAGCCAGTATCCCGAGACTCAAGGCAAGGGAATATTTGATGCACAAGTGAGGGGAAAAGTGATCAGCCCCCAGGCAGTTCAATACAGGGAGGCGAGAAGCAGAGTAGAAAGTGAATGAGATGACATGATATGACCTGGCTTATGTGCATGGGGATTTTGGGCCCGTGTTTTGTTTTGTTCGTGTGTTTTTCCCTTTCACTGAGTGAAGTACCACCATAGCCATGATCATGTGCAGAACTTTTAATACATTGTGACCCTGCCTGTGAGTAAACAAGGCCCAGTCAATGCCTGGAAATGGGATTTAAGCAGATGAAAGTTTCCTTCTTTGGGAGTGGAATTGGGGGAGGGAAGAAAAGAGTGGGGGCCTCCTTTCCTTTATAATTAAAATGACATTCATGGCCCTTAAATAATTTGGTTCCTAATCAGTGTTTCTAGTCTTATTTTGGACCTGTCTTCCCCATTGTAGAAACAACTTGTGTATATGTATGACACATGCTGTTTCCACATTTCCTTTGCTCACACTCTCTCTCCTAGAATTCCCTCTGTCCACCTGATAAACTCCTTTAAAATCCAGCTCAGAAGTCATCTCCTGGGTCTAATGGTGGTGCAGCAGTAAGATACAACCCTCTGCCATGTGAGGCAGACCCAGATGGGGAGGCTTTAGGTTTGCATTAGAGACCTTTGAGCACCATGCCTGCCCTTGATCTGGGATGGCTGTGGCTGGGAGGTGGGATCATAGCTTCAGGAGTCCATCAGAGCAGCTGTGTCTCTGTCTCTCTCTCATGGAATAAATGTATAAACTTAAAAATTATCTTGGGGCCAGCTTGTGACCTGGTGGTTAAGAGGGCTGGATCCCACATGGCCAACTATGCAGTTCAAGTTTTGGGTTTAAAAAACATGCTGGCTGTGTGTGTGGTTATGCCTGAAATCCTAAAAGGAGGGAGAAATAGAGGAGAAAGGATTATGGTGTGGCTACATCCATGGAGATGCTTTCTCATTTCCTTCTCTGGCTCTCTTCAGCAAGTATTCCCTTTGGCAAATAATCTGCAAAAGTTATCTCCTCATGGAAGCTTTATTTTACTTTCTAAGGCAGAGTTAATATCATTTAGTTTCTCATTATATTATTTGTTTGGCTCCACCCACCAAAATGAACTTTATGAGGACAGGGATCACATGTTTGCTATTCACCCTTGTGCTTCTAAACCTTACGGTGCTAGGCATTTAGATGTTAAGTAAATATTTTTTAATTCAGTGAGTGACTAAGAATAGGAAGGTAATGGATATGGTGCTACCTTACTATTATGCATTCATTTGCATATCTTGGGGGCTCTCCTAGTAGAAACTGGCCTCATGGGATAAAGGAGGCAAGCACAGTATGTGTTGAACTGGAATCATGTCTAAATGTCTGTTGACCCCAAAGCACAGAAAGTTAAGTTAAGAGGAATGTTGTTGGGGGCAGCAGGTGGTAGTGATGGTTAAGGGTGCTGGACTCCCACATGACCAACAATGGTTCAAGTCCCAGACCTGGCAGCTTGCTTTCTTACTTTCTCTCTCTCTCTCTGTCCCTCTCTGGTCAAATTTAAATAAATAAATAAGTAAAGTTAAATAAAATAATTCTTAAAAAAAAGAATGTTCCTTGCTTATTGGTAAAGTGTTAGTGTACTAAGAGCTTATTGAACAACAGAAATGTATTGTGTCATAACACTGGAGACTAGAAGTTTGAAATCAAGGTTGGTTACTTCCTTGTGAGAGCTAGCAGGGAAGGATCTGTTGCAGGCCACTCTCCTTGGCGTTTTCTGTGTCTTCGCATAGCATTCCCTCTATACATGCCTGTCTCTAGATCTAAATTTCCCTTTTTGTAAGGACATCTACTATATGGGATTAGGGTTCACCCAAATGACCCCATTTCAACTAATTAAAGATGCATTTCCACGTTTCCAAATAGAGTTACATTCTGAGGTACTGGGAGTTAGGACTTCATCATATAGCTTTTTGGACATTGGACACAGTTCAGCCCATACAAGTTAAGATCATTGAAAGTAAATTTGGTAAGTATGCTTGTATAGAATTAGCTTTCATAAAATAGTTTACAGTGGGACCAGCAGGTGGTATGGTGGTTAAGGAGCTGGACACTCCCACATGGCCAACTGTGTTTTGAGTTCCAGACCTGGCAGCTTGCTTCTCACTTTCCCTCTCCTCTCTGTGTCTCTCTTTGGTCAAATTAAAATAAATGAATAAATAAAGTAATTATTTTAAAACATAGTTTACAGCAAGAACTCCATAAATGCAATGAAATATTTTACTAGGGCCAACAAGTAATAAAAGCAATTTCTAAGAAATTCCTTCTACTACTGTTTGAATGTTTGAACTTTTTTTTAAATGAATAAAGTTTTGTGTAAACATTGACTACTTTGTTTGTTTTTGTTTGTTAAATGATTATTATTTTTTTTAAAAAAATTGACCAGAGACAGACAGAGAAAGTGAGAAAGTAAGCCATCAGGTTGGAGGCTAGAACCATAGTGGGCCATGTGGGAGTCAGCACCTTAACCACCATGCCACCTGCTGGCCCCACCATTGACTGTTAAGAGTATTTATCTCTGACATAGTAATACCTTGGAAGTATTATTTGTCTCTTGAGTGATCTTGGATGAGTAAATCACTTATCTGGGCCCGTATTTTCTTACTGGTACAGTGAGAGGACTGAACTAGATAGTCTACCTAAAAAAAAAAAATCACTGATTGTTTCTAATTCTTTGAAGTTCTTTCTTTACAGTTCAGTAGGGGAGATGACACACACATTTATAAATATGTGAAGAATGTTTGCTACCTAACATGTTAGCAATTTAGTGTAGAACAAACAATACATAGCTGGAGACAGGAAACATTAGAAAGACATAACCACTGGGGTTGATTTTGATGATTTTCCTCATATATAAGCCATTCTCCTGGGTACCTAAACAGTGCAGCATAGTAGATGCTCACTAAATGTCTAATGTGAGGATGGAGGCAAGAGGTGACATGGTACTGAGCACTCTTAAGTAGTTGCATATCCTTGTGAGTAGGTATGAAGAAAGAAGATCCTTTCATGCCCAAGGTGTCTACATTGGGCAGATAATCGATAACACCTGTGTTTATAGGTGCATGTGTTTACACTGTGCCAACCAGAGTGATAAATGGACCCATTCATTTTGGGCCCAGTGCTTTGTGTGTGTGTGTGTGTGTGTGTGTATGATGCAAAAGGCTTTAGAATCTCCCTTAGTAGTCTGGAGCTAGTATCGTCTTTGAAGGCCACACAGAGATAGCACATGCTCTCAAGTTCCGGCTCCTTTTATGCGCTGGGTAGACAGTAGCATGGGGCACATCTGATAAAATAAGCAGCCACTTCAGCCTTCTACTGCAGCGAATCTAGGCTTCTTACAGGGCAGTGGGAGGCTTAAGAGGTCACTCAGAACCCAGTGTGCCCAGACAGGACTCATCGCGTGGCGTGCCCTAGGCAGAGGAGATCTAAAAACCAAGGACACTAAATCCCTATGCACCTTACCCACAGCCCCAAGCTGTTTAGCTACTCGAATTCCAGCTAGCTCAAGAGACACGCCTAACTGCTTCAAGGCGGGCACGACAGAGTTCCCGAGACCGGGTTTGGCCGGAGCCTAAACCAAGGAGCGCTTCCGGGGGCGCGCGAGCACGCACTGCGCAGCCGTGGAGAGGCCCCGCCCACCAGCCAGCCCCACCGCGGGCGGAGGGAGTCGGTTCTTTGCCGAGGCGCGCGGAAGGCTCCTGAGAGACTATGAGCGCGGCAGGTTCGCGCGGTCGCCGCCAGGCGCGACTGTCCCGCTTGGTCTCCTTTAGCGCGAGCCACCGACTGCACTGGTAGGGAGTGCCCACAGGTGCCAAGAGCGGGCGGCTGGCGCGCCTGCCTCGCCGGGAACGGCCCCAGGGCGGGGCTGCTTGGCGTGCCGACGCCGAGGACGGTGGCGCGCGCCAGTGCCCTCGCGTGGAGCGTGGTGGCGGGGGCGATGGCGGGGCTCCGCCCACTGGCTCTGTAACCTCAAGCCTCCTTTCTCCCTCAAGAGTTCCGTAGTTTAGTCAGAGGGTCGCCATGCGGTTCACGGAGTTAAACTCGCTCAGAGCTCACGCTGCCCGGCTCGTCGTGAACACGCAATAAGTGTTAGCTAACGATGTACACCAGGAGCGTCCCCACCGTCTCTAACACCAAGGTTTAGCAACCCCTTTAACCAAAAGTACATTGTGCCCAGGTGTCCAGTGCTCTAGACAGACAGCACGGTTGGGACTAGAACCCCGCGCTCCAAGACTGCCTGACTGCCCTGAAGGGCCGATTTTGAGGGGAGTGTAGCACTCACTAGCAAGCGCCACTCTCTGAGCCTCCGTTTCCGCGACCGCGAAATGAGGATCGGGTCTAGCTGATTCATCCTTCCACTCACTGGGCGAGGGTTTTGTGCTAGGCGACTAGGAGACAGGGCTGCTGCGGGGCTCCAGGCTCAGTGTAACCTGGCCGGTTTCGTGGAGAGTGCACTGAGAATTTTGTTTAAAGGCTTTGTGAAGGTTAGCACTCTAATTGAGAGAAGTGGGTCAGAGGAGAAAGTGAAGGGATCATACGGAGGATCTGAAAATGGGAGAGCGGTTGTGTAATGGAGAACTTAAACCGGAGCGTGGTTAATGCCTCTAGATGACGCAAAGTTGATTGGGGTAGGTATGGGGTATAGAAATTTAAGGGAATTGTTCCCTTTCTGGAACGGCGGCCAAGTATATTTTACATTTTCATTTAGGGGTTGGCCTCCTAGTCTACTGATTAAGGGTGAGCCAGCTCCATGGCTGACTGAAGTTCCGAATCCTAGCTCTGACAGCATGGAAAAGCACCCAGGCACTTGTAAATTTGTGCCCCCAAATCCCGACAGGATAAAGAAATGGAAGAAAAGGGATAGCAGTGTGACTACACCCAATGGGGGGGGTTCTTTATAATTAGACAATTATAAACTGACAGTTTTTTTAAATCAAATTTGAATGTTTCAACAGATTAGTGAAGATAGCAGAAGACAATAGTTGAGGCTTTGTAAAGTAAGGTCATTAAAGAGACTAGGTCATCATCTTTCAGGAGGAATGACATTTTAAACTGCTTGAAAACGGGCATCATCTTATGTTTACTGTTATATGCAATTACTTCTTTCAGCATGTGCCTGTCCTTCAGAAGGTGTTCAGTAAATATTTGTTAAATTGAAAAATGGGAGGATTGTAGCAAATCAATTGTTGGAGTCTTCCTGTGGAACAAGGCAGGTGAATTTAGGGTTTGTTTATGCTAACTTCATGGTACGGTAATCTGAGCATATACTGGCACCTGATATATATAGTAGAGTAATAAAATCAAATAATAAATAATAAAATAAAGTTGACTTATGACCTCCCATTTGGTGAACTAAAATAATAATAGAGAAACTTTTCAAAGACCAGAGAAAATAATAAAGGAAGAGAACAGACCTGTATCATGTTGACATTCTTTTTTTCCCTCAGCAAATCTCTAAGTGATGAAGAAAATTTGAAACTGTTTGGGAAATGTAACAATCCCAATGGCCATGGGCACAATTATAAAGGTGAGAGAAAAACTGGTGAAATTTTAGCTCTTCCATAAAAGTGAGAGAGTGTTCATCAAATAAAGACATAATGAAAAAGAAACCTTCGGGATGGAGTGTGAATATTTTTTTGGTTGCATATGTCCCACGTTGTACCTTGCAGTTTTCTACTCTGTTATAGATAGTACAAAACAATGACTAGTTTAAAGAATTTTTTTTCTTGGCCTTAGAGTGCATAATATTTTTTTTGGCAGTATGTTTCCTTTTGATTAGGTCTGGCTAAACCTAATGTTAAAATTAGGTTGTATTCTTTGAGTAAAGAATGACTGACACTAGGGAAATATTTACTAGGAGTGTACTATATGACAGAAAAATAAGTTGGTTCTAAAACTTTTCCAGCAGGGTTCCAAGAAAGTAAGTAATCTGTGCAAGGATGAGAGACTATTCTTTTTTAATTATTTATTTTTAATTTTATTTATTCATTCATTTTAATTTGACCAGAGAGAGAGACAATGAAAGAGAGAGAGAGAGAAAGTGATAAAGCAAGCCACCAGGTCCAGGACTTGAACTGTGGTCAGCCATGTGGGAATGTCTAGCCCCTTAATCACCATGCCACCTGCTGGTCCTCAAGACTTGATTCTTTGAGACATACCCGATGCCTGGAGAAGTATCTACATAAACCAAAGAGTATAGTAGCACATGATGTAATGATGTAAAAAGACCAGAAAACGTATTAGAAGATGCACATTTCTAATTGAATACAGCCCGTTACTTGATCTGTGGTATCTCAATCTCAGTGTACTCACACTTCATACAATACTTAATGGTGTATATATGAGCTGAAAAATTTTTAAAAAGTTATTAATTTGTAAAGCACCAATCATCAAGATACTTAAAGTGTTTCATAGAAGCACTTGTTAATTTACAAGGCACTATTGTAAACTGTATATACATTTATGTTGAGCAACAGATAAAAGTATAAGGCCGGTAGTGGTTTTGGTTGCTTACAAAAGGTACTGTCCATTCAGAATTAGAGTGGCTCAGTGTGTAGTTGGACGCCTACCTGTATACTTTCTACTTTTATAGTCAGATTAAGCAGCATTTCTGCCCTACCTAGTTTATCAACATCATAGCAGAATTTACAGCCTTTCTGGCCTTGGCCAAGATTCTTAGCTTAAGCAAAACTCCTCTGCTTTGGTTAAGTCTTGCTTTGGATGATAAAAAGGTCTTAACAAAAAGAACAAATGTTTTGGGGAAAATAGAAGCAGATCTTTGGGGACAGAGGTCTTATACTTAATTTATGTTGCTAATTTATGCTTGGATTTTAATCTGTTGAAAGTCATGTTGGTTTTGGTATTTTGTTTTCTTTCCCATAGTTGTGGTGACAGTACATGGAGAGGTACGAGCTGGAAATATCTGTGTGGTTTATGTGGATTGCTGGACCCTCCTTCAGCCACAGTGGTGGATTCTGTGTTGAAATTTCTGTTTCAATCAGTAGTGCTTCATTGTTGCTTTTATGTGTGGTGAGCTGCTGCCATTCTAGGCCCTTCCTCTCTCAAAGTCTTGTTCTTAATGTGATATATGGGGCAGTTAGAACACCTGTACAATGACAAGGATGCCTGAAGTAAATGGTGCTTCCATGCTGAAATCAATAATTATCTCCAGGATAAAGGCAAACATGGACACATCATCTGCCAATTGTACAACCTTTAATAATTTGCTAACAGTTTAAATATGAAGAGCCTATTAGAATAATATTCTTTTTTGTTTATTCTTTTTTTTCCTTTAAATTTATGTATTGATCTATTTATTTGTTGTGATTTTCATGCTGCCGGGGTCTGAGAGTTGAATCACAATTGGCTATATGCGAATTCAGTGCCTTAACCACCATGCCACCTTCTGGCCCCTTGTTTGTTCTTTAGATTGATCCGGTTACAGGAATGGTTATGAATTTGACCGACCTCAAAAAGTATATGGAGGTAATAACATATTAAGCGTTTATTATGTACTGGCCCCTAAGTATAATATTCAACATCCCCCTTTCCACCTCCCCAATCAAGTGTAGCAAGAAGTTCTGTAACATATGAGTAGAATGGGATGTGGGAGTAGAAGAGAAGTTGGAGGAACTACTCTTCTGGGTTTCTAAAGGTGTTTGAATAACTTGATGAAAATTAATTACAGTTGTGTTATAGTGCAGGGAAAGACATGTAACTAGCTTATATTACAGTCCTTGCTGGAATATCCTAATTTTCTCTATTTAACACATTCTACTTTTCTTTCAAGATACAAGGTTTCTCTTTTAAGCATTCTGTTCCTTCTATGAAGTTTCCTTGAACTTTTGATCATAGATTTTTAACAAAGCTCTGTCTTATTCATTCTGACTTTATTATTATTCACTGGGGCAATTCACCATAGAGATAACACACAAGAATGTCTTCCATAAAAAACTTATTGATTGGGTCAACCTGTAGCTCAGTGATAGAAGGAGTCGGACCCCACATGGCTGACCACAGTCTGAATCCTGACCCTGGGAGCTTAAAAAAGAGCTAAGTGTATATGTAAGTGTCCCAAAATTCTGGTGGGATGGAGAAATGAAGCAAAGAGGATTGCGACATGACTTTGCCCCATTTGGGAGTGCTTTTTCTTTCTCTCTATACCCTTAACCCCCAGGTGTGCACATGTCCTCTGGCAATTAAAAAAAAAGAAAAAAGAACTTACTAATTTTGTCATTATAGAATTCTTACATTATAAGAGACCTTAGAGATTATCTTAAACAACTTCTACATTCCCTAGATTAACACTTAAGAGATACTGGGACCAGCAGTTGGCATAATGGCTATGTTTGCTGGACTCCCATGTAGTTGACTGTGGTTTGAATCCGGACCCAGTGGCTTAAACTCATTCTTGGTGCATGTGTGTGCATGCCCAAGATCCCAAGAGGAGAATGGAGGAGAAGGGATTGCAGTGTGGCCATCCCCCCTTGGGGGTGATTTCTCACTTTCTGTCTTTCTGTCTCTGTTTTTCTGTTGAGTGCATGTACTCTATACAAAAACCTCTCAAAAACAAACAAACAAAAACAGACTTAGAGACACTGATGGGACCAGCAGATGGCTTAATGTTTGCATCGCTGGACTCCCACATGGTTGACCGTGGTTTGAGTCCTGGACACGGTGGCTTAAAACTCACACCGTGTGCATGTTGTGTGCATGCCTAAAATTCCAAGAGGAGAATGGAGAAGGGATTATGGCCTGGCCATCCCATCTGAGGGGTGATTTCTTGCTTTCTGAGTCTCTGTCTCTCCACCAAGCACATACTCACTGTAGCAAAAATCACTCTCTTAAAAAAAAAAAAAAAAAAGATGGGAACCAGCAGTTAGCGTAATGGCTATGTCGCTGGACTCCCACGTAGTCGACCGTGGTTCGTGTCCCGGACCCGGTGGCTTAAAACTCACGCCGGGCGCGTGTGCGTGCGTGCCCAAGATCCCGAGAGGAGAATAGAGGAGAAGGGATTGCGGCGTGACCATCCCCCCTGGGGGGTGATTTCTCGCTTTCTGTCTCTATGTCTCTCTCTGTCTGGCGAGCGCACGTGCCCTACAGTGAAAATCTCTCTCTCAAAAAAAAAAAAAAAGAAAAAAAAAGTTAGAGATACTGAATTATTGACTTGCCTTATACTATGTTGTTACTTGATTGTGAAAGTAGGAGTAGATTTCCTTCTACTCCAACTTTTTAAAAATTATGCTGCTATTTTACCTGTTTATTTAGTTTTTTTACTTGAGTTCTACAGCTTACTTTTGCTCTAAAATTTAACATTTGTTTCATAAAAACACTGTTATTAATAATCATTACTTTGGGACCAGCAAATGGTGTAAAGGTTACGTCACTGGACTCCCATGTAATTGACCATGATTCGAGTCCCACACCTGGTGGCTTAAAATTCATGCCAGGTGTGTGTACACACATGTCCAAAATCCCAAGAGGAGAATGGAGAAGAAGGGATTGTGGCATGGTCATCTGCCCGGGGGGGTGATTTCTCATTTTCTGTCTGTCTGGCGAGCCCACACACCCTATAGCAAAAATCTCTCTCTAATAATAATAATTATTATTATTTCTTTTACATTATTTATTATCCATATATTCAACAAATTTGCATCAGTCTTTGAGCTAAGGAATGCAAAGGTGAATGAAACATAGCCCACAGACTCTGCACATTACTTTGTCTAGGAGGTAAGGCATAAGTGCTTACTTAATTATTGGTTGAATGAATAAGAGAATGAGTGAATAAACAAGCAGCATGTGCTCAGAGTACTTTAGGAAAGGTATAGACAGAAGTTCTTGTGTTTAATGGGGATACCAAATATGTGTACACAAAGTTTTGTGCAATATGAGTTGACCCAAGCTAACCTAAGGGGAAGTACTAGAAAAGGGATTCTCTATCTTTTTTGCCACCTGAAGGACACAAAACACTCTTATCAGTAAAAGTGACTCACCATGGCATTTAGGGTGAAGTTAGAGCTCTACAAAAGAGGCTTTGGTGGAAAAGTTGGTACTGCAACTGAGACTGAAGATAAAATGGAGACATTTATTTTGTTGATATCCATGTGGAATAGCCCTTCACTTTGTTTTAAAAGCTGTTTGATCTAGGATTTACCCTTTTTATATGTTCTGGTCTTGTTCAAGAAATGATTGCTATTTTTGTTATTAATGTACCCTTCTTGAAACCATAGCATATGGAACATTAGATTGTTTCACAAATGCTAAGATTTTGTCCAATAACTGAAAGTAAAAACCTGGATAAAATGAGGCAGTTATAATCCTTGGTAATGGCAAGGAAAAACATGCTAATATATATACACACATATTAGGAATTTATAGTCTACATATTTATATTGTTTAAGAACCCAAGGTCGTTCTTACATTATTCCTCATAGCAGAATTTTAGAACTACTTACATAATTTCAATCTTAGTCTGACTAATAAAAGGTAGTACTTGGGACCAGCAGTTAGCATAATGGCTGTGTCGCTGGACTCCCAGGTAGTCGACTGCGGTTAGAGTCCCAGACCCGGTGGCATAAACTCACACTGGGCGTGTGTGCGTGCGTGCCCAAGATCCCGAGAGGAGAATGGAGAAGGGATTGGAGAGGAGAATGGAGAAGGGACTGTGGTGTGGCCATCCCCCTTGGGGGGTGATTTCTCGCTTTCTGTGTCTCTGTCTCTGTCTTTCTGGCTAGTGTACACGCCCTATAGCAAAATCACCTCTCCAAAAAAAAAAAAAAAAAAAGGAAAAGGTAGTACTCACTGAATCTTTGTCCTAATGATAAAGTGACCTTGTTTTGTAGGTGAGACTGTGTTATGGAAAAATGTTTCTGGTAACTTTTGTTCAGGAAGTGTTAAACTGAATCACAACAACTGTGGTAGGAGAAAGTTCCAAGAATTCTCTGCTTTTTGGTTTGTCATGTCTTTGCATTCAGTAACAAGAAAAACTAATCATTACAGAGAGCTGGGCCCTAATTTATTTATAACTTTAAACTTTATGAGACACAGATACAGTACTTACAAGTACTGATTTAACAGTTAAATAATAGGGGAAGTTTTAGAAGCATAGACTGAACATTTCGGAATTTGAGTCATAAATGGGATCAATTATTATTTTTCTTTGATTTGTCTTAGGAGGCAATTATGAAGCCCCTTGATCATAAGAATCTGGATCTGGATGTGCCATACTTTGCAAATGTTGTAAGGTGGGCATTATTTTCTTGCCTGGTATAGAGAGTAAGAAGAATTGATTTTAACATTTTATCTGATCACTATGTGGTTTCTAAAAGATTTAGTTTAATGACATCTTTTAAAGTTATAATATCTGTTCTCTATGAAAATTAAACATGAAATTTTGTTTATTATTTGCATTTTGAATTTTTTTCTTTCTTTCTACAGCACAACAGAAAATGTAGCTGTATACATCTGGGAGAACCTCCAGAAATGTCTTCCTGTGGGTGTTCTTTATAAAGTAAAAGTATATGAAACTGACAATAATATTATAGTCTATAAAGGAGAATAGCTCTTAGAGATTAACAGTATAGAAAGACTAGTTTCTTTCCATGTCTGAAAAAGATCTTTATCCCTTTGGAATATTAAGAGATCACCATATAGCTGTTGCACCTGTGTTCTGGTGTGCCCTATTTATTGAAATTGTTGTAAACTCTGTTAAAAATGTAAAACTATTTTAAAAATTTGTATTCTGAACCATTTAGAAGGTCTTTAATCTATAGATGAATGCTTGAAAGCAAAAAGTTTATTTTTGTTCTTCATTATCTTTTTATTTTGATTTTTTCTTGGTATAATGATAAAAATGTTTATGAGACTTATAGTAGCTAAATCTTACACTAAAAAAAAATAAGGTTCAGGTGACCACAATGTCTGAATATATAGACAATATATTTTTAGTAGATTTAACTCCTTTGATTACTTCTTCATGGATATTTCTAGAGGCATAAGCTTACTCAGTATAAAGTAGACACACAATCATTTGAGGCAGTGCATTGCAGATGTACGTACAAAGAGTGATGGAAGTCCTGCTTCTGTGCACATTGTGCATTGCAGTTTTGTGCAGCTTACTGAACTGTGAATTGCAAGTGAGGAACAACACATTGAACATGTCAGGGAATAGCAGTAAATTATTACGTATATTTATCTGGATTTCTGGACATTATAGTCATCTGAACAATTTCAACTCAGAAGACTAGAATAATCATGAATTAAAACCCTGTTAAAATAGTCAACATAAAAAGGACTTAATACTCTATAAAACATCTCCTGTATAGATGGTTTTCTGATTGATCCCATTTTGTTCTGATCATTAAACTTACCTGCATAAATTGATCTGTATTCTTGGCATTCATCTCTGGTATCTTTTCCTTATGACTAAATTTACAAGAATGCATTTTGTGTATTCGTTTTGCACTAAGAACTGTTCTCTCTTATGCTCTTATTTGTATTCTAAACTTTTTAAATACAGGTTTTCATTTTTCCTTCTATATAGCAACTAGTACACAATGGACTCTCAGAATATTGCTGCCCCAAAATAATAAAAGGACTTGTGCAGTGCCTGAAAAGAATAAAAGGACTTATGCAGTGATTACTATTCTAGAAATGTTTGCGAAGGAGTAGACATTTATTTTGGTGAGTTAGTAACTGTGGGAATTTTATTGAAAATTTTGACAGTAACGCAATGCCCACGTAATTAAATTTGAATATGTTTAGTTATCAAACACAATGTTTCTGTTATTTATATAGAATATATTTTTTTGTGTTGATTACTTGAAAAGCAGGATAGCTACTATTTGTTAAGTCACTTTATGCTTTAGTTCTCACAAATACCATGAAAGGTAGGTATTAGTTCCATTTACATGTGAGGAAATTAAAATTGATAGAGTTTAAGTAACATTTTCATTTCAGGTGTTTGCTCATGAGTTGCTTCCAAAAAACATTTTTTTTTTCCTACTGACTCTACTTAGGAAAGTTAAGATTTTATCCGTTTATCTATCTAGTGAATTGTCAGTGAGTGGGTGAATGATTAAAAGTTCCAAAGACAGTATATAGGTGATTTTCTTCTAGATCTCCCTAGAGCCTGCTTTCAGAGACCATATCAATCTGTATTGTAATTGTTTTACCTGTTATTATTTTCTTGGTTTCTTTCTTCCCCTTTTTAAAAACTACCCTGAATTCCTTGTGGGCAAAAATAGTACTCTGATTTTTTTTTTTTTTTTGGATAACTAAATAAATGAGTGGCATATTGGCAGAAGCTGTTGAAATTCCATAGTGCCTTATACGTAATGGACATTTGGTAAATATTTTTAGAATTGAATAACCTGAACATTTTGAGGCTTGAATTCTAATCCTAGTGCTGTTACTATTTAGCTGAGCCTCATTTATCTCTGGATTTCTGGGCCTTATGACCACCTGGACAATTTTAACTCAGAAGTCTAGGATAATTACATATTTAGAAATGGTAAAAAAAAAAATAACATAAAATGTGTTGATTTCTTTGTGCAATGACTTCTTGGACTATGTGCTTTCTGAAGTTGTCTCTACCCCCGCCTTTTATTTTTTCTTGAGAAGTTTATGCTGTAGGGCACGTGTGCTCACCAGAAAGACAGAGAGAGACAGTGAAAAATCACCCCCTGGGGGGATGGCCATGCCACAACCCCTTCTCCATTCTCCTCTCAGGATCTTGGGCATGCATGCACACGCACCCTTTGTGAGTTTAAGCCACTGGGTCTGGGACTCAAACTGTGGTCAACTACATGGGAGTCCAGTGACATAGCCATTAGGCCAACTGCTAGTCCTGTTTCTACCCCTTTTATACCTAGATAATTTTAAATGCCAAATGAGTAAATATTATTAATGTATAGAAGGAAAAAGGTCATTATGAAGTTGTGAGGTTTGGAAAAGCTTAGTTGAAGAGTTAAATCCAGCATGGTACTTAAAGTGTTGGGTAGGGAGAATGCTGATTTGGAATTTAGGAGAAAAGAGGAAATGAATATTGAAAGGGTAAAACTTCATTTGAGAGGTTACTAGGCTGGGAATATATACCAAGAATATCTGGTTTGTAGTGAATAGGTAAATCTTAGTAGACTGTTGGTATGTGAGAGTGGAATGAAAGTAAGCTTGGACAGATGGATGAGGGACAGCCTGGAGGGCTTTGGCTTTAACCTTCAAGGAACAAGAAGCTATTGAAGTTTCATTTGTTTTTAATTACCAGAGAGCAGATGTGCTATCTAGAGAGAGAGAGGAGGGAAAGTACCCCACCAGTGGGGTGTGGTCATGCCACAAGCCTTTTTCTTTCATTTTTCCTTCTTGTAGGATTTTGGACATATATGCATATGTGCCTGGTGAGCTTTTCAAGCTGCTGGGACCAGGAGCTGAGTTATGGAGTGGCCCTGTTTGTTTGAAGAAGTTAACTAGATGGACAAAGGCAAGCTAAGAAATCAGTGGGAAAGCTGTTGCAAGATTCTGGACATGAGGCGATGGGATGGTGATGGCAGTGGAAATAGAGGAAGGAGAATAGTTCTACATTGTGCTTTGCCTACTGTGGGACTATGGGATTATGCATTTTGTCACATACTTTTTATATTATCACACTTTATCCTCATAACCATCCTGCAAGATGAATATATTAGTTATTTACTTTTACATAACAAATCACCCCCAAAAATGGTTTAAAACAGTACATATTTATTATCTCAATTTCTGTGGGCTGGAAAACTGAACATGGCTTAGCTGGAACCTTCGACTCAGGATCACTCAGAAGGCTGTAGTCATCTCAAGGTTTGACCAGGAGGGATTCTCTTTCCAACTCACGTGGTGATTGTCGGAATTCAGTTCCTCATAGGTGGCTGGACTAAGACCTTAAATTCCTTCTCTTTCTTGCCAGAGAGGCCTCATTATAGTGTATCTCCCAACATTATAGCTTGCTTCCTCAGAGGAAGGCAGAAAGAGGGTGAGGGAGAGTACCAGCAAGCTTGAACTCACAGTCTTTTATAACCTAATCAGTCTTTCTGTCCTTAGAAGCAAGTCACTAAGTCTAGCTTACATCAAGGAGAGGGAATTATAGATCCGCTGTTATGTGTAAAATGAGACATGGAGAATAGTAGGAGGTGAGGCTAAAGTCAAGGAGTAGATATCATGCTTTATAATTTTTTTATTTGCCAGAGTACATACACTGTCTGCCAGAGAGACAGACAGGGAGAAAGCACCCCTCTGTGGGGTGTGGTCATACCACAGTCCTTTCTCCATTTCTCTATTCTTTCAGGATTTTGGACACTCACACATGTACCTTGCTTGTTTCTCAAGCCATGGGCCAGGATTTGAATCCTGTGATCAGCAGTGTGGTATCCAGCTCCCTTTAACACTAGGTCATTGGGCTGGCCTTATCATACCTTTTTGATTCCTTGAGAGTAAAGTGCATTTTATTTTTCAGAAGTAAAAATGTCAGAGCAGCAGTAGTTGTTTATGGTAGGAATTGTGCTTACTGTAGAGAAACAAAGATCTTGGAAATAGGACTCTTAAAAACAACTCTAAGGTGAAAAGTTAAAAAAAATATGCGATTACCATTTCTCTGTGAACATAATGACCAGAGCTCAGCTATCATTTATACTGCCTTAATTGATGTAGTAACACCAACAGGTGGTAAAAATGGCCAGAATACTATGAACAATTGTGTACTTGTGGCTACTAATAGACTAAACCTATGATAAGTGATCCATTTCGCTTTGAAACTCCAAACTTGTACATTCCTCCTGGAATTGAAATTATCTTAAAGGCAAGAAACAGATTGTGCTCATTTTGCTTTTGTTATGTCTGGGATATTTCTAACCTCCCTTGCACATAGAAAAATCATTGTCAGTTTCACACAATTTAACTTTACAGCAAGATTCTGCCATAAGACATTTTTGGAAAATGTCCCAGATACACACTGTGAAAAGGCTCCACATAGCTGCACAGAGAACTGTTATCACCACACACACACACACACACACATACACACACACACACACACACAAAGCCGGGGAAAGTGGTTCTTGGGCTAGAGGATCTCAGTTCTGCTAACAGGTGGCTCATCCATTTGCTTCCTTCAGAAATTCACCCACCCACTCTACCAGTGTTTGGCAACCATTGAGACAGGAGACTTAATGATTAAAAAAAGAGAAATAAAAGCCCACATTTACTCTTATCCAACCAATTTATTACTCAATGAAAATTCCTGTTCAGTGTGATACTAAGTATGACCAAGTTCAGTGTGATACTAAGTATGACCACAGTTTCAAACTCTTTGTACTTTCCATACATACCTTTAAGGAAAAAAAAAACAAACAATTTTATGTATTCTTTTTTTTTTTTTTTTA